TTTCTTTTCACTGCAGGCTTTTAAACCATAAAAAATTCAAGGGAAAAAATTAAGTCAAACAAGAGGATTCTACAAACTTTCTATAAGGTCCCTCCCAGCTGAGTGCAGCCGTGCTACACAGTGGGCTACGTCCACACAAGGTCCGACGCTCAGGCCCCGGCTGCCTCACTAGCACCCCCCTCTGATACCCAGGCAGCTGCCACCGGGTCAACCAGCCTTGCAACATCTGGCCTCAGGCCTCGGGAGCTTTCAGGGAAAAGTGTTCTAGACAGCTGTCAAGTGACCCCTGCCCAGCCCCAGGGTGGACTCTCTTCGGGGGGGATTGGAACGCAGAACAATTTCACCACAGGATCTACCCAGCCTGGGGGAGCAGGTCAGGGAAACCGAGGGGATACTCGGAAGCAGCAAGCAACGAGCATCGCCCAGGAGGAGCAGACAGGCGGTCTTACCTTGCACCTTGACACATTCTGTCTGGCTGAAGGCACTGTGCCTCCCAATGGCCTTCACGAACGTCCGGACCTTCACACAGTGTGCAGCCCCTGGCTCCATGGTTTCCAGGTGCACCGGAATGCCCCCGCGCCTCACCATCTTGACGTGTTCCTTTAGGAAAACAGAAAACAGTTACACTCTGGGGGAAGCAGGACACAAAAGAGGGAGAAGGAGGGAAGGGAAGCTGTAAATATTTCCTTTCCAAGATGCATACAGAATGTTCCTCTCATTCATTCATTGATTCATTCTTAAATATTTATTTATTTATTTAGCACCTACGGTGTGCCAGGCATTGGTGTAAGCACTGAACAAAACAGGGACACAGCATTGAACAAAACAAAGTTCCTGCTCTCGTGGAGCTTATGTGGGGTAAGACAGACCATATATAACACACATCAGGTGGTGATGAGGGTTATGAAGAAAAACGAAGCAGGGCAAAAAGGTAGAGAGTGATGAGGAGGCACCAGAATAGGGATTAGGGAAGACCTCTCTGATAGGGTAATCTCTGGACAGAGACCTGAAGGTCAGAAATCTGACTGGGGGCTTGGCCGGGCCACTGCTGCCAGGGGGATCAGTGCACAGGAACACTGGAGCCTGTGGGCAGTGCCTCCTCACACTTGCATCCATCCACTGTCTGTCCATCCATCTGCACGCCCCTCCACCCCCACGCACCCCCTGAGGGCTGTGCTCTGCGTCTGAACCTGTGGAGACTCGTCTGGGCCAGGCCCAGGTGGCTCAGGACACGGGCTCCTCTCCCAGCACCGGCTCTGCACCTCCCGAAGAATCCTAGGGATCTGCATGCTCTCAGCCAGCCCAGCCCCTGATCAGTCCCACACTCGACTCCCTCCGCCTGGCAATGCCACCTCCTACCCCTGGGCCCTGACCCAGCAGGAATAAATGCTGGAAACCATGGCTGTTGCCTGTTCCACCTACACATACCACCTTCCAGGGGAAGCTACCCAGCCCACGGTCCCCATTGAGTGGGTGGTAGGGCACATGACCTGTCCCTCAGACACTGGCATTAGGTCAGGGGTACCTTTGGCCTGGAAAGGGTCTATCAGAGGCCAGCCAGCAACCGGCGACCCCTAAGCTTGGCCTGATAAGACAAGCAGTAGCAGTCAGATTTCCTCTGCTAGGAACTGATCTTGGGGAACTGATACCCGCAGCTAGAAGCAGGGACCAAGGGGAGAGGACATGGCGAGGAGGAGTCAGGCCTGGTAAGGCACAGCCATAGGCATGTGCAGGAAGGAGTGGTGAGGGATCAGGGCCTGCGAGCGAGCTGGGGAGAGGGCCACGGAAAGAGTGCAATAGAGAGGACCCACTGGAGGGAATCAGAGACTCCACAGACGGGGGCCCCTGGGCAAGTGAGGCTGTGCTGCAGCCTGGCTCTGGGCCTGCTCTGATCATGGAGTCTGTGAGAGCCCCTTATAGCACCATATTAATCCCTGTGACAGAGCCTATTTTTCCTTGTGCTGACTCGAGTGGGCCTTGTCACCATCTCAGCTTGGACAGGGCCTCCACAGGCCTGCCCAAGCTCCATCCTTTCTGCTGCTGTGGCTGCAGGATGCTTGGCCACTCCCTCTGGGAGAGCTGACCTCCCACCCAGCCTAGCCCGCAGCATCCATCCCACAGGGTAGGGCAGCGCCCCATCTAGGCATTACGGGTGGCCCATTGGCTCAGAATTAGTGCTGTTTATCAGCCAGCTCCTGACTCTCTGCCCCGACTTCTGCACCCTGCCCAGATACACACCCTCAAGAGCCTTGTGCCAGCCTCATATGCTTTTGAAATCATCCAGTTGATCTGGAACACCCTGGTCTGCCGCCTGTAAACAGCAGGGAGAATGGCTGAGAAGACATGCTGATGAGGGAGAAGAAATGCATTGAAAAGGTATCATGGATCCAACTATGGCAGAGTTTAGGGCAAGGAGGCAGCCCTCATACTTTAGCAAACGTGGCCTGAGACAGCTCCCAGCCACAGTCTGGGTTGGACCAAGGCAGTCCTCTGAGGAAGAGGCTGCCGGGATTGTCAACCTACGCCCATCTCTCCTTTCCCACACTTCACCCAGGCCCGCTCATCCTCAGGCCACCCCAGACAGCAAGCACTGCAGGGGCTGGCTTTCCTCATCCAGCTCTCGGAGGTCTGTGACTGCTTCTCCAAAGTCTAACTCAAAGGCCAAGGGTGGAAGTCTCACCTTGGCACCAGGCTCTCTCTTCCAGTAGGCCACGAAGAACTCAAACTGTGGCCCCAGGTCTTCCAGCTTAATAACCAGGTGGAAGCCATCCTTGGTGATCTCCATCCCAGGTGGGGTGAGGATGGCTGTTGGCAAGACAAGGAGAGAATCAAAGCCAGCCCCAGACAAGACTGAGTTTTGTCCAGGGAGACCATGACCAAGCCATCAGTAGAAACATGTCAGGCTCATGGGAGGGGAGGGGTTTGGATATGGCTTCACGGTGTGCAGAGGCGTGTACACTGATCCTCTCCTGTACTCAGCAGGTGCTCAGTAGACACTTTTTGAATGATGAGCAAATGAAGAAAACAAATGACAACCACTTACTACAATTCGCATAGATCAGTTATATATACTGGCTGCTGCTAACTCTCAAACATCAGCAAATCAGCAGCCTGTGGATGGGTTGGCCTCTCTATTCTCAGTCCAAGGATTCTTCAGTCTCATATCCTTAATGGAAGATGTTGGAAAATCAGAGGGTTTTACAAATTCCAATAATCAGCTCTAGAAATTTACAGCATAAGCACAAGCACCATCCTTCATATTACTGGATCCCAAACAGAGAGGCCAGCAGCCCCCATGGATACTTTCCTATCAGGAGACCAAGAACAGAAGGGCCCACACAGACAGTCTTTAGTCCCTGGTTACTGATGATGGATCCAGACTTGCCTCTCAGATCCAGATGCTGCAGGACCAGAGGGGCCACCACAATTGCTGGCCTTGGCTTGGCAAGTTTAGCAGAGTGTGTTCTGGGCTACATCCTCCTGCACTGGGGTCAGTGGACACTCAAAAGAAAGGCAGTTCCTGCAGGGAGTTTTCAGAGAACAAAGTATTTCCTGGCATTTGAAGAGCTGCCTGGAAAAGGAACATGAGGACTTGGAAAGTCAGGGACCAACTGTACAAAACATACCCAGTTCAGAGGCTTCATATGAGCACACAGCACCACAAGAACTGCGTCTGAAACACCTCCAGTAGGGAGAGAGATGTTTTGACTCCTCCAGTTTTAAGTCAAACATGATTAGAATTGGATCCCCTGATCTCCATCTATGTTGAGATTAGAATTAGACAAAATGACCTAATGTCATTTCAGTTCAGAGAATTTTTTGACAAAGTTGGGACAAGAACTTCTGTCCTATGTACTGTACAAACTTATCTCATTTAATCCATCCAGCAAGCTTAAGAAGGTAAATACTGTTCTTATCGTACAGATAATGTAACAGCCTCAGAGAGGTTGAGTGACTTTCCCAGAATCACACAGTTAATGGCCAGAATTTGAGTCCATGTCTTTCCACGTTTCTAGACTCTGCTGTGGGGTGTTTTTTAACTCCCGATGAACAGGATGCACATAGATCGCTTAAATCAGACTCTAGGCTTGGGCCCTGGAGACAAGTGGTTCTAAAGCTCCCCTGTGACATGAATTCATATAATTGAGGTTAAGAACCTCTGCTCTCAACAGGCTTCCCTTTAAGAGTAGGAGATCCTTTTCAAGAGAGCCTTAAAATAAGATTTTTCATATGTCTTGGGAGAAGTCAGCATGGCCTTTTTCAAAGGCCAAAGAACAGACGTAATGCCCTTGAGAGTCTCGATTCCATCCCAACGCTGCAGCTAACTTCACCTGCACAGGGACCACACAGGAGCAGCTTCTGGGCCAGGTACAGAGACTCCCTTCCCCAGCTCCTCCTGCAGTGGCCCTTTTCCTGTTTATATTGGCCTTCTCAAGCACAAGTTGCTACTGCACACACCCACCCCCATAGCTTTGTAGGCACTCCCTCAATCTCCAAATGCCCCGTGCCTTCCTTTCCAACAGCTGCCAGCCCCCAGCAATGACCTTGGCTGGAGCCCGTGCTTCTAGGAGCCAAAGGGAGGTGGTGCTGGGTGCTGCCCAGGCACGGCAGGAAGAGGCAAAGCTGCACTACCCTCCAGCGCCTCTCAGGCTTCCCCAGGGCCTGCAATGGGATCCCACTGCCTCCACCATATCCTCCCAGTGCCTAGAGAAAGAGACTGGGAAGAGGAGCCCACATTCGGCACCAAAATTTCTATTGGTATCCATTCCAATTGTCCCACTGCTGCCCCCAGCTCTTCCCTCCTTCCTCTGCTCTCTGGCTCTCAACTCTGGGCATCCCTTGGGTAATTAATATTAATATTTACTAATAGCTGAGTGCTATGATAAGACAGCACCGCCCTGAGCCTTTGCACTTTTCATCTTGTCCACAACTACCCAGTGAGGCAAACTGTTGCCCTTCTTACAGATGAGGACTCAAGGGGCTGAGCTGGGATTTCAACCCCACCTGCCTGACTCTAGAGGGCCAACTTCCCCTTCAAATTCACCTTCCTCAGCCCCTTCTAGCGTGGACTCCCTCACCTTCTAACAGTCCTAATTTCTACCCAATCTCATATAGTCCTCAGTAACCTTTGATTCATTCCATTACTGCCCCAAACCTTCCTTTGTCCTCACTCCCAGCAGAGGGTCACCTGCCACACCAAGAAAACAGGTCACCGCAGGCCTTTCCCTTGCCTTTCCTGCATGTCCCAACTGGTCATGTTATCATCCACACCTGCCCTGCCCCTTCTGCCTCCATTCAACCCTCCAGCTGGCAGCCTGTCCACCATCACCACGGCTCCATGAAGCCACTTTCTCAAGGACCCATTTAGGGGCTTCCTTCAGGCCCAGCAGCAGCTCATCCGCTCTCCCCTCCATGACCCTCTCCCCGCCCAGCACCTACTAGTGCCTTTCCCTCTACCCTGTTTTTAAACCTAAGGTTTCCCAGGAGCCTATCCTGGGTTCTCTTTGTCCTTATGTCTTGTCCCTGGACATCTCACCTGCTCTCAAGCCACTAGCTATTAATTTTGTGTTGTGTGTCTAACCTTGACCTGTCTGAGCCCGAGGGCCTGATTTCCAACTGCCAATCAGACATCCGTGGCATGATATCCTATAGGCATCTCAATCTCAAAGAGCCCAAAGCCAGCAGCAACTCTTATCCCTCAGACCAGTCGCTCCTCCTGGGTTCTCTTCCTTGGGTGACACTCCCACTAACCCCATCTGGAAGATGGACGCCATCATTATCTCTCCCCACTCTGTCTCCCAATAACTGGTCCCCAAGCACTGTCCTTTCTAACTCAGCAATGTCTCTAGAATTTGTCCTCTTCTTCCCATCCCTTCCCCACTTCTGGGATCAGGACCCACCTTGGCTCAGCTGGAGTGTTACAACCCCGTCCTCACTGTTCACCTGCCCTGAAGGCTTGTCCTACTCCAGTTCACTTTTCACACCACAGCCAGAGTGATTGTTCTGTAAGACAGACCTGGCCTAGACCTTCTCTTCTTCTGTGGCCCTCCTCTTCCGACTTGATCAAGCTTTATGTCAAAGCCCTTCACCATGTGACAAGCTGCTTCCTCGCCCCCGGCATCCAGACCCTGCTACTGCGGTCCCCCACACACACCCTTCTACACACTGGCCATTATTTGCACTCTGCCATATTTGGTCACCAATCTGGATTCTTCCCTTACTTCTTTTTTTTTTTTTGCGGTACACGGGCCTGTCACTGTTGTCGCATCTCCTGTTGCAGAGCACAGGCTCCGGATGCGCAGGCTCAGCAGCCATGGCTCACGGGCCCAGCCGCTCCGCGGCATGCGGGATCTTCCTGGACCAGGGCACGAACCCACGTCTCCTGCATCAGCAGGCGGACTCTCAACCACTGCGCCACCAGGGAAGCCCTCTTCCCTTACTTCTTTCTCAATTATTTTCCAGGTTCTATTGCTATAGAAAAGTTACTTATTTCCAAAGGACTGTTCCTAATCATGTATAGACCCTATTGCACGAAGAAGATGCTCACACAGCAACAAAGATGGAGTTAGCAAGGCCCCAGATGGGAGGCAGTGTAAGATTTATGAGGCACTACTAGGGTAGGGAGAGGCCGTCCTAGCCCCATCTCCCCAGTTCCAGAGCAGTTTTCCTTCCAGGGACAGGACTGACTTCCAAAGTCTCTTTCAAAATGAGAGGGAAGGCCTGTGGGAAGCAGCTGACTTTTTAAAAGGGAGCAGTTAGGGCTGTTGATGTTCACAGTACTCTGGCTTTGCAAGACTAATTTGATGCTGAAAAGAATCCCAACAGTCTCAGTGAGCATGGTTCCTGAAGGGGAGGCTGCTGGCGGCGGGGGAGTGAGGAGAGAAGAGCCTTACTTGAGTTTCGATTAAAGGGGTGCTTCAGGGTGCTCCATGCTGAGGTCAGTGAACCCAGGGTGGCCCTGACCCGGAGGCTGTATGGTACAGTGGCGGTGATGTCATCAGTGATGTCACACTCGGGCCCTTGGGTGGGCGAGCACCAGCTGCTGGGGATCCAGATGTGGCTCATGTACAGGCTCTCATACTCTCTGGCCAAAGAGAGGAGGGGACAGCGTCACACCAGCCCCTTCTACCCAGGCTCAATGATGGTTTCAAGTAACTGTCGCATCCACTGACTTTTTATGGGTCAGGAAAACAAGCATTTGCTCCATACGCATTTCTCCCCTCTCCTCCCTCACCGACCACCCTTTCTTCCTTACTCCTTCTCACCAGACAAGGGAGACCCAAGCATAAACCCCACTCTATCCCAGTCTCTCCATCTGCATGCTCACAACCCCAGTCTCAGCCACTGTCATCCCTTTCCTTGCTGTGTGTCTCCTGACTGATTTTCCTGCTTCCTTTCCTGCCAGTCTTCAAACCATGCATCACTCAGCAGAGCATCATATTTGTCTCCTTAGTGGCTTCCAAAGAGTCTAGAATGGAGTCCAAACTCTCTCCCATGGCCTACAAGACTCTCTGGCCTTCTCATTACACCCCTAAACGTGATGCTCCCTCCACACAGGCCTCCTTGCTCTCCCTCCGACAGGCTGTCATGTTCGCTGTGTCTCAAATGCTCTGCCCCTGCATTCCCATTGGCTGCCTGCTCCTGTCCTTCAGATATTGGCTTAAATATCACATCCTCAGACAGACCTTCCCCGACCATCTGATAAAAAGCTACCACAGAAGAAACTCTCTGTTGCATCAGCCTTTTAGCTTCCTCCTAGAGCTGATTTCTATCTGAACTTACCTACAGCAATGCTGCCTGATAGAACTTTCTGTGTTGGTGGAAATGTTCTGTATCCCTGTTGTTCTATATGGTAGCTACTAGCCGCATGTGGCTATTAAGAACTTGAAATGTGGCTCGTACGACTGGGAAACAGACATTTTAATTTAATTTAATTTAACTTTGATTAATTTAAATTTAAATAGCTGTCTGTGTCCAGTGGCTACCACACTGGACAGTGCAGACCTCGTGTACTTATTTCTTTACCTTTTTACTGTCTCCTCTAAATGTAAGCTCCCTCTGTCCAGAAGCTTTGTCGACTGTACCCGTGAGCCTAAGAGAATGTCTGCACGTGTAGTTGTTCAGTTTGTATAAACTGTTAATGAAATATATTGAGCATCTTCTGTGTCCCTGTCACTCCTTGACAGCTCCGAGGGCCTGGACACCTGGAGAAGGGCCAGCTGACCTATAGGATCACAATTTGTTTTGGCTTCTAGGGGCAAGCACACAGTCAGGAAAAACTGAGGTCTCCCCCACCCCCAAAGGATCTGAGTTCCCAGTGATTTCTCCACCTCAAGTCAGAGACAAACTTGTGTCTTCTTAAAATTTTCTTCAGCATTAGACAATTGACTCACTGTTGGAAAGAAGCTTCACCAAAAAGTCTTTATACATGTTTGTGCTTCCAGGGAGTTCACTGTCAAATCCATGGGACAACTTCCCTTGTTGCTTCAACTCTCTCAGTGCCCATGCAGACAGAGGATGCAGATCATGGGAAATAACCTCTCCCTGGGCTCACAAAGCCTCCTTGAGCTCTGGAATGAAGGTTGTGATTCCTGGAGAGGAATCAACTAATGTCTAAAAGAGAAAAACTAAAAAAAAAAAACACAAAAAGCAAAACTCACCCTTGGTACTCGACAGAATAGTGTATTATTTCTTCAGGCACAATCACTGGGCTCCATGTCAAGACATGCTTCATGTTGGTTGATTGTACAGAGAGGTTCTGAGGGGCAGGCAGAACAGCCACTCCATCTGAGACCAAGGCAGATAGACAGGCTGACAGGTGAGCTCAGGGGGCTGGCATCGGGGGAAATGCCACAGCTTCAAGTTAGTTTCTAATGAAAAGCCAAACATGCTTAGGAACTAGAAACAACTCTAAAGTCACCATACTTGTGTTCATGCTAAATTTTTGCTATCATCATTGTAATTCTGCCTTTGGTGATTGAATGGCATGTTAATATTAATAATAATAATGGCTAATATTATTGAGCACTTACCGTGTTCTATCTAGGCCGTGTGCTAGGTTGTCACATGATTATCTCATTTAATCCTCATGACCATACTGGGAGGTAAGGACCATTAGTTTCTCTGTTGTACAAATGAGGAAACTGAAGCACATTATGTACAACCCTTATGTCACGTTGATCTAGATGCAGGCCTTGACTCTGCCACTTACTATGTGACCTAAAGCAAGTTGCGTAAACCTGAGCCCCCCACCCCTACATGGTAAACCCATACTGGCTCCTGCCAGCTTCTCATCACCACCTTCTCCTGCTACTGCCATCCTCAGGTACCAAAGCAATTTGTTTGTGTCCCCAAGAAGGCCAAACAGGGCGCAGCTGCCATCTGAGAAGTGCAGGCTCAGGTCTGCCGTGGAAGGAGTCCAGTGCAGAAAGGCACCAAGCCAGCTCGGAGACTCCGCCCCAGGCAGCCTGCAGCCCTCTGAGCCAGCCGGGATTCAAGCACCTACTCACACAGCTGTGTGCTCAGAGTGTGCACACAGTGGGTCTACAGTTTGCACACAGAATCAAAGAGGCCTGTGAAGCTGAACCTGCCCTCATAAGGACCTTGCAGCCTCAGGGTTCATCCTTGCGTGTAACCCAGGGTGCAGTCTGGATCTTCCGATATGGTCTTCCCCTCCGACTTTCACACGCTCTTCTTTTAATGCCCAACACCTGCCTCCCTTTGCTGTTACAGTTGCAGTGATAATATCGACAGCATGGCGTGTATGAGGCTGGGACCCTTGCCTGGGACTTTTCATCTGTGTGCCTGTCTCCAGATTGGCACCTGCTGTTCGTTATCCAGCGCTGTAACCGCGAGAGGATGGGTGTTGCTGGGGACACCCCACCTGGTGCCCTTGCTTCTTCCCTAATGTAGGACCCTTGTGATGCACCCTGATCTCACTCTCAGCGTCCACGGCCTGCCCTGCGAGGAAACACCTAGGGTACCCACAAGGGAGGCTTCCTGCCCTCCCCACCTTTAAACCTGTAATCACCCAAGGGATGAAAAGGAAAAGAGCCAGCTGCAGTGAGGCCACCCGGGAGGGTGGAGCGTGGTCCTCTCTGACATCCTTCCTCTGGTAAAGTAGACAAAACATTTCCCTAGTCAGATATGCGAAGATTATAAAGCTATGTAAATATAAAGCTCTAATTCATAATTCTAAAACTCTCAAAAATGAAATCTCCTGGCCCAGATGGTTACACTGGAGAATACTATGAAATAGTTAAAGAGAAATTAACACCAATTTTATACAATCTCTTCAAAAAAATAGAAGAGGAAAAAGCACTTTCCAACTAATTTATGAGGCCAGTATTACCCTGATACCAAAATCAGGTAAAGGTAGTGTGTATTTAAAAACACAAAAGCCTACACATCAATATATCTTATGCACTTAAATGCCAAAATCTTCAACAAAATACTAGCAATCCAAATTCAATAATGTATAAAAAGGATTATGCACCATGATCAAGTGGAATTTATTCCAGGTATGCAAGCCTGGTTCAATATTTGAAAATCAATTAATGTAATCCACTGCATCAACAAACTAAAGAAGAAAAATCATACAATCATATCAGTTGACACTGAAAAAGCATTTACAAAATTCAACATCCATTCATGATTTAAAAACAGAAAACAACAAAAAACCTCTCTTCAAGTCAAGAACATTAGGGAGTTATCTCAATTTGATAATGACCATCTATAAAAAACCTACAGTTAACATCTTATTCAATGGTGAAAGACTGAATTCTTTCCCCCTAAAATCAAGAACAAGGCAAGGGTGCTCACCCTCATCAGTTTTACTCGACATTGTACTAGAAGTTCTAGCAGCTGTAATAAGGCAAACAAAGGAAGTAAAAGGCATTACAGATTGGAAAAGAAGTAATTAATCTCCCCCTATTTGCACGCTACGTAGAAAATCCCACAGAATCTACAAAAAAACTTCCTAAAACTAATAGTGAGTTCAGCAAGTTCATAGGATACGAGGTAAACATTAAAAATTAGTTGTACTTTTAAATACTAGCAATGAACACTTATACACAGAAATTTAAAATATTTACAATCATTCCCTCCCCCAAAAGAAAAGCTCAGGTGTAAATCTAATGAAACATATCTAGGATTTGTATGAGGAAAACTCCACAATGCTGGTGAAAGATTTCAAAGAAAATATAAATAGATGGAGAGACATACTGTGCTCATGAATCGAACAATTTGACATAGTTAAAATGGTAATTCTCCCCAAATTGATATACAGGTTTAATGTGATTCCTATCAAAATCCCAGCAAGGTTTTTTGTAGATATATACCAGCTTTTTCTAAAATTTATAAGCAAAGGCAAAGGAAGGAGAATAACTGAAACAACTCTGAAAAAGAATAAAGTGAGAGAAATCAATCTGCCCAATTTTAAGACTTACAGTAATGAAGATTGTGTGGTATTGACAAAGAAATAGACATATAGATTGATGAAACTGTATAGACATCCCAGAAATAGACCCACACAAATATGCTTGACTGACTTTTGGCAAAGGTACAAAAGCAGTTCAATGAAGGAAGGATAGCCTTTTCAACAAATAATATTAGAGCAACTGGATATTTGCAGGCAAATAAAAAACCTCAACCTAAATCTCACACCGTATGCAAAAAGTAACTCAAAGTGGACCATAGACTTAATGCAAAATATGAAACTCTAAACTTTTAGGAAAAAACATAGAAAATCTTCAGACCTAGACAAAGATTTCTTAGACTTGACACCAAAAGCAAGATCCATAAAAGGAAACATAAATGGGCATCATCAAACTTAAAATATCTTGCTCTGCAAAAGACCCTGTTAAGAGGATGAAAATACAAGATACAGACTGGGAGAAAGTACTTGCAAACTATATCGCACAAAGGATTCATATCTAGAATATATATACAAAGAATACTCAAAACCCTACAGTAGAAAAGCAAACAATTCAATTAGAAAATGGGCAAAAGACATGAAGAGTCATTTCACCAAAAAGTACATACAGATGGCAAATGAGCACATGAAAAGATGTTCAACATCATTAGCTATTAGGGAAATGCAAATTAAAATGTCCCTGAGATAGCACCACACAGCCATCAGAATGACTAAAAATTTTTAAAGTAACAATACCAGACCCTGGTGAAGATGCAGGTAAAGTCACTCATACATCGCTGGTGGGAATATAAAGTGGTACAGCCACTCTGGAAGATAGTTCAGCAGTTTCTTGTGAAACTAAACTTGTAATTACTATACAACCCACCAATTGCACTCTTGGGCATTTATCCCAAAGTAGTAAAAATTTATGTCACACAAGATCTGCACAACAATGTCTATAAACAAACTGGAATCAGCCCAGATGCCCACAGGTGAATGATTAAACAAATTATGGTATATCCAATAAAAAGGAACAAACTGGGGCTTCCCTGGTGGCGCAGTGGCCGATGCAGGGGACACGGGTTCGTGCCCCGGTCCGGGAAGATCCCACATGCCGTGGAGTGGCTGGGCCCGTGAGCCATGGCCGCTGAGCCTGTGCGTCCGGAGCCTGTGCTCCGCAACGGGAGAGGCCACAACAGTGAGAAGCCCGCGTACCGCAAAAAAAAAAGGAACAAACTATCACTACGTAAAACAATCTGGATGAATCTCTAGGAAATTATGCCAAGTGAAAAAACCCAACCCCCCAAAAGTTACATACTGTATGATTCTCTTTTTATAACATTTTGAAATGGCAAAATTTTAGAAATGGAGAACAGATTAATGGCTGCCAGGGGTTAGGAACAGTGGGGAAAGGCACAGTAGGGGGAGGTTCTAAAAAGGCAACAGGAGTATCGTTGTGGTACTGGAACTGTTCAGTATCTTGACTGTGGTGATAAATACACAAACCTATTACACACACACACACAAGCACACGCTCGAACGAGTGCAAGTAAAGCTGGGGAAGTCTGAATAAGACAGGTGGATTGTATCAATGATGTCAATATCCTGGTTGTGATATTATGCTACTGTTTTGCGAAATACCATTGGGGAAACTGGGCTTTCTGTATTATTTCTTATAACTGCATATAAATCTAGAATTACCTCAACAAAATTTCAGTTAAAAAATACAAACATAGTGTCATCACACCTAAAAATTTAGCATTAATTCTGATTATCTGCATGACAGGATACATTTTAAAAGACCATGAAAGGATAAATTCAAACAGGATGAAATGCACCTAGGAGAAAAGTAGTTGTAGAATTAGGTGCAGTCAATTAAATCAGTGAGGGACACCTGTTTAGGGTGGGAGACCTAACAATTAGGTGTCCTAATGACCAGGGCACTCATCAAGGATTTAAGCAACTACTCTGAGGTTGAGTTTCTGGGTATATCTTTCTTCATGAGGGGCACACAGGCAGGACAACAGCAAGAGATGTCCCAAAATTTAGGTGGCTCCATTATGTTATGCAGCAGTTTGCACTTATGTAACTGTCTTCTCCTACCTGTGAGGTTACAAATCTAACTCCACTATGGGCAAAATACTCAGTCTCATTCCTGTCTTAAAATGAAAACTACTGCTTCTTTCTGAGCCCTGTAGGCAACATCTTCAATATCTTTATGCCATTTGTACCGTATATTCCAAATTCCATCTTTGTTTCGCTGTTGTTTATGTAGCACACATACACATTGGGAATGAGATGGAAAATCAGTAATGCCCATGAACTACTGATGCCAGGGGATGTTTAATTGGGTTACATAGAAAGCATGGTGGCCCTACATGAGGAAAAATCCATTTTATGCTAGGACACTAAATAGGGAAGTCTATTTTCAGCTCAGACTCCAAGCTGAGAGTGACTCCTTTCACCTATGAAGGGTTTCATAGGTGAATCCCCTCCAGTTGTTAGACAAGGCTCACTGTGGTCCTGAGAACACAATTCAGTGGAGAAAAAGAAAACTTTGGGGCTTCCCTGGTGGTGCAGTGGTTGAGAGTCCACCTGCTGATGCAGGGGACACGGGTTTGTGTCCCGGTCCGGAAGATCCCACATGCCGCGGAGCGGCTGGGCCCATGAGCCATGGCCGCTGAGCCTGCGCGTCCAGAGCCTGTGCTCTGCAACGGGAGAGGCCACAACAGTGAGAGGCCCGCGTACCGCAAAAATAAATAAATAAATAAATAAAAGAAAAAGAAAACTTTGTTATCCACCCACCATTCTCATTAACAAGAAATGTCATCTACCAGCCAGGAGTAATGCGTATTGAAGTCAAGTCTCTGAAGAAACCAGTTAATAGAGACTCTTCCTGATGTGAATGAGTAAACGCAAAAACAAAGAATACACTCAAGGCAGGAGGGGAGAGTAAGCTTACAGTGTGAACAGGAAAGACTACTGGCCACAGAGAGAAGGGTGCAAAATTGGGAATAATTATTTCCTCAGCCACACTGGATGAGAATTCTCAACGGAGCTAGACCAAGATATTGGAATATCTTCTGTATAATCGTTTGGTTCCTTGTGAATAGTTATGCTCCTGTCACTGTAGAGAATTGTTCTTGTTCTAGCAGTCTGACTCAGTATCTCAAGAAGGCCCACCGGGTGGAGCCTCCTGGGTGTTTCCAATAGAGGCTTGAGCCAGGTGACTGACTATTTAAGATTCTGGTGCTCAGTGTGGCAGAAAGTAGCTAAGCAACACTTTTTGCATAGAGCTGCATTCACAAAGCTGATTCCTCTTTCTTGCGGCCTATTAGTATTCTATTGCTGCTGTAACAAATTCCCGCAAATGTAGTATCTGAAAACAACACAGATTTATTATTTTCCAGTTCCATAGATCAGAAATCTTACACAGGTCTAACTGGGCTAAAATCAAGGTGTTGGCAGGACTGCAGGCTCCAGGGGAGACTGTTTTCTTGCCATTCCCAGCTGCTGGTGGCCACCCACCTTCTTGCGCATGGCTCCTCCTTCCTCCATTTTTAAAGCCAACAATGGCTGGTTGAGTCTCTTTCATGCTTCAAATTTCTCCTGCCTCTTTTTCTGTCCTCCCATCTCTCTCTCACTGCATCCAGGAAAGGTTCTCAGCTTTGAAGGACTCATGTGATTAGATTGGGCCCACCCTGATAATCCAGGATAATCTCCTAATCTCAAAATCCCATAACATTAATCACATTTTTAAAATACCTTTTTCCATAGGAGGTAATGTATCCACAGGTTCCAGGAATTAGAACGTGGATGTCTTTGGCGGACCATCATTCTGACTACCCCATGGGGCTTGCACTTCAGGGGATATTGATACCATGAACTGACACGATACCCTAAAATGTCTCCCTCGAATACAGTAAATTATTTCAAGAGAATCCCCTTGTATGTGACCAGAAGAAGAAAAGAGCAAGGCTGAGCTAGGACATGGCTGCTAAGCAGGTTGCCGGCATCACTCGCTGCCTAAGTAACTAGTGCCCCACCCCAGCTTCAAAAGGTATGCAAACCAATTCATGTCTCAGGAAAGTGATCTACTGCTTCAGGATCTTAAGGTATGGTCTTTGGATCAGCAGCATCACAATACCCAGGAGCTTATTAGAAATGCAGACTCTCAGGCTGCAAGCTGTGCCCTACACAACCAGAATGTGCATTTTAACAAGATCCCCCAGGTAATTCATAAGCATATTAAAGTTTGAGAAGCACTGGTATATAGAGTTCTAAATGGTTCTCAACCTTGGTTGCCCATGAGAATTACTGGGGAGGTGGCTTTTTGTGGGTGTTTTTTTTAAGTTTTATTTTGAAATAATTTCAGACTTACAGAAGAGCTGCAAAAATAGTACAGAGAGCTCCCATATACCCTTCATTCAGCCTTCCAGATGCACATGACCATAGTACAAATATGAAAAGGAAGATATTAACATTGGTCCAATATCAATAATGAAGCCTCAGTATTTATTCGAATTTCACCGATTTTTTCCCCTAAAGTCTTCCTTCCTTCCTGCCTGCCTTCCTTCCTTCTTTCCTTCCTTTTTTTCAGGAACCAATCCAGAATCCCACATTTAGTTGTCATATCTATACTTAGTCTTCTTCAATCTGTCCTCAATCTTTCCTTGACATTTTTGACGGGTACTGGTCAGTTGTTTTCTAGACTATTTCTCAGTTTGGGTTTGTCTGATGCTTTCTCATGATTTGATTAAGGTTGTGCATTTTTGGCACATACTCACAGGGAATACATGATGTTACTATGTCTTATTACTGGTGGTGTTTACCTTGACTACTTGGTTAAGGTGATGTCTTCACTATAAAATGACCATTTTCCCCTTTATAATTAATAAATAACTTAGGGGAGATACTGTGATACTATGCAAATATTCTTTCTCCCCCAACTTCCATCCATTAAATTTTGTGTTTATTGGTGGATATTACTTGCAACAATCATTGCTGCGATGTTTTGTGATTTTCTATGTGTTAACTGGAATCCTGTAAGAAATAGCTCTTCCTTCTCCACCATTTGTAATAGAAATTTATTTTATTCTATCGTTTTTTTTTTGTTTTTTGTTTTTTTTTCAGTACACGGGCCTCTCACTGTTGTGGCCTCTCCCGTTGCAGAGCACAGGCTCCGGACGCGCAAGCTCAGCGGCCATGGCTCATGGGCCCAGCCGCTCCGCGGCATGTGGGATCTTCCCGGACCGGGGCACGAACCCGTGTCCCCTGAATCGGCAGGCGGACTCTCAACCACTGCGCCACCAGGGAAGCCCTATCATTATTTATTTTGTTACTCAAATCGTTCCAGCTTTGGCCATTGGGAGCTTTTTTGGGTTTTGTGTCCTTTTGACTTACTCCCATCTCTCACTCTCTTTTTTCATGTTATTTTTATTAATAGACTTTTAATTTTTAGAATAATTTTAGATTTATAGGGAAAAAACGCAGACAGTAAGTACACAGAGTTCCTGTACACCCTTCACTCAGCTTCCCCTAATGCTAACATCTTATATAGTCACAATATATTTGTCAAAACTAAGAAACTAACATTGTACATTACTATTAACTAAACTCCAAACTTTATTTGGATTTTGCCAAATCTTCCACTAATGTCCTTTTCTCATTCCAGGATCTAATCCAGGATCCTTGTTGCATTTTCCCCATCCTTTTTTGAGCACTTCCTTCCTTACCACAAGATGCTCCAAACTTCTATTTTCTCTTCCCAGTTATGGAATAAACCACTTCTCTAAGGAGCCCCACCCAGGAAGTTTTGAAAAATCCCAAAGACCAGGCAGCACCCTAGATTAGTTAAATCAGACCTCTGGCTGTGAAATTCTGGCATTTGTATTTTTAAAAGCTCTCCAGTTAATTCCAATGTGCACTTGAGGTTGAGAACCACTGATCTAGACCTTACTTCAGGTACCTGAAAGATAGTTAAAACTATGAACGATATATGATATCACTTATATGTGGAATCTAAAATATGATACAAATGAACCAATCTATGAAACAGAAATGGAATCATGCTCATAGAGAACAGACTGATGGTTGCCAAGGGGGAGGGGGTTGGGAGAAGGGATGGAGTGGGAGGCTGGGGTTAGCAGATGTAAGCTTTTATATATAGAATGGATAAACAGGTCCTACTGTGTAGCACAGAGAACTATATTCAATATCCTGGGATAAACCATAATGGAAAAGAATATAAAAAAGAATGTATATATATATATATATATATATATATATGTATAACTGAATCACTCTGCCATACAGCAGTAATTAACACATTATAAATCAACTATACCTCAATAATAATAATAAAAAAAGCTATGAATGATAAACCCCTAAAGACTTAGGTGTACTTCCCAGCAGGTTCTTATGTTCCCTGCAGACAGAAAACACTGTTTTGTTCATATCTAACCACCCAGAACGTGGCACACAGCAGGCGCTCAGAAATACAGAATGAATGAAAACGAAACAGGTGAACCAAGTCTTGGCTCCTTAGTGAAATTAGCCTCAGCCTGATTTTTCCCCCCGAATTCCTATCTCACATTAGACCTTTGTGTCATTCTGAGGTTTATGCCCACCACAAAGCCCCTGGGCACATTTCCCAGGCAGAACCCCTTGCATCTCCTCCCTGGAATCGCCATGCTGGCTTCCCCTCACTGTGTCTGCTGTCAGCTCCCCCGTTGGCTCTGTTCTGCCACCTTTACCTCCAACAGCCCTTATGGCAAATGTGTCAGAAAACACAGCAACATCTTCTTTATTCCTTTTGCTTTGTCCTTCCAAACTTTTTCTGGCCTGCTTCAACGTCTCAGCTTCTTCTGCAGAGAAGTACAAAGGGCACAGGCTCTGTAGCCAGCAGAACCAGAGTCAAATCCCAGTTCTCCCACTTATTAGATGTATACGCTTGGGCAAATAGCTGAACCTCTCTGAGCCTCTCTTTCCTAGTGTATAAAATGGGGGTTATATCACCTACCTTGCAGGATTGATGTGAGATGTCAAGAGAACATTTTTGCTAATCCAGAGCACAGTGTGCGGTCATAAATGGCAGTTGCGATGGTCATTGTCGCTGTTATTACTGCTGTTATTATTACTATTATTATTATTATTGGTAGTGGGAATCAGTTTCCTGAATTACACACTATTATTTGAAAGGGACAGGGCAAGGCAAATAAATTCTGTAAAAGAGAGCAAGACCTCTACCCATCTGTCCCAAGGATCTAGAGTAAGTAGTAGAAGTTCATTTAGACATTGCAGAAATCATTGCAGGCTCCTACACAGTCCAGAGTAAATGGTCAAAATTGCATAAAGGCAACCTCAGCTAAAGCAAATAACTGCTGACACCACCATCGGTTTGCATAACCAACAGATGAAAAGTAACATCTTCAGAGTGCCTTTGTTTGCATAATCTCGTTTGACACCTCCCAACCGAAAGGTAGCTGTTTTGACCAATTTGCAGATGAGGAAACTGAAGTGATAAGAGATATATTCACTGAACGAGCAAGTGATAAAAGTCAAAACACACACAGGTCTTTCTCACTCTGACATCCTTGTGGCTTCTACCACTGGTGGGTTTTTTTTGGTTGTTTTTTTTTTTTTTTGGGTGGGTGGTGGAGGGGGACAGGGATGGTTGTTGTAGTTTTTTGTTTGTTGTTTTTATTTCTGTGTAAGTTTACAGGTGGCAGAAGAGTACTCACCTCCAGGTCTACTTGAAATAGGAGTCCAGGAAAAGGCTTAAAAGACTGGACTACCTCATTGAAGAAAATGTCAAATTAAAAAATGGGTGAAGGGGATCAAAAAATGTAAATTTCCAGTTATAAAATAAATAAATCATGGGGATGTAATATATAGCATGGTGACTATAGTTACTATACTGCATATGTGAAAATTGCTAAGAAAGTGGGTCTTAAAAGTCTTCATCACAAGAAGAAAAAATTTGTATGGTGACAGCTGTTAACTAGACTTATTACAGTGACCACTTCACAATACATACAAATATCAAATCATTATGTTGTACATCTGAAACTAATATAATGTCATATGTCAGTTATACCTCAATTTAAAAAAAAATCAGGAAAAATATGCTGGCCTTTCCCCTTCTCATTTGGCCACCCCGTCTTCTCCCTTTAGCTTAGTGGAGGAGTGTTTTCCTAGCAACTTGTTTGTGCCACCAACTAATCAATGAATCAAGTAACTAACCGATCAGCTAACATGCTGAGCCTATGCTAGGGGCTGTGGGGACGCCAGGAAAGATGCCTAGGCCCTGCCTTCAGGCCAGTGCAGGAAACAGAAATAACCCACTGAAACAGAGTACATGGGGTCAAGGATCAAAGGAGAGAGGTCTGGGAAGGGTCTGCAGGAGCAGGGATCCATCTGGAATGATGATGGGAGGACGGGTTTGGGATGGGGTAAGGACTGGAGAGGGAACTTCTGAGGGAAAGAACTACAATAAAGACCAGGAGGAGGAAATGGGGGGGTGATGCGCCAGCTGTGAAGACAGCAGCCGCCTGTGGCCCATACTTGTTTTCAAGGAGTAGTGAGAAATAGGATTGGGGCCTAAATATGGTGTGTCATGAAACAAACAGCAAATTTGCTCATCATGTGCTGAGACATAGAGTTGTGAAGGGTTTTGAGCTACACAGGCATATATTTGATGTTTAAGTCAGCTCTAAACATTTGCTAATCACCTCGGCACTGATTTGTTACCTGATTTAAACTAACCAGAATAATTAGTTCTCAGTGTTAAAAAAAAGAAAGTACTCAAGACACCCACAGACACTGCAAAGTGCCTAGGACCTTGGTGTATTCAAATTAGAAATTTCTTTTAAATGTTAGTTGACAGGAAGAAACATCAAAAGTGAAAGCTGCGATTTCAGAACAATAACATGTAGGTGCAAGCAGCCAGAATGGAGCAGAGAAAATTATGTAATCTTACTGGCAGGCAAAATGCCCCAAACCAAATACTTTTTAAAATGGTATGGAGTACCTGACTGCTACCTTTTCTGAAGTGACCAGGAGAGAATTCCAATTTTCATAAATCTTGTACCCAATATTAAGGTTGCAAATTATGTCTTTCTATTCAGGTGTATTTTGTTAGAATCTTTACTTAAACCTGTCCTTACAGTGAACATCTCTGAGGCACACACAAAAAGACTGAGATAATAACTATGTTGTGGCTTTTAAAACTAAATAATAAGATAAATAACAAAATGCATGGATCTCTGCTAATCTTTTAACTATTTTTCTGATGCTTTATCTTCCTAGATTGTTCTGTGGACATTGAGAGATCTCTAAACAGAATGCAGGCCTTTTCTCTGTGGGGATGGAGGATTAGGAGGTGAGAAACCTTTTCAAAAACAGACATAAGACGTTGTATGCATATATTGCAACCCCAAACCCTGGGAAAGTATTTTTCACCTTCCTAACCTACATTTGAGTCCCAGACTGTAAGCGGTATTCTGATTCATACTTACCCACGAGCAAACAAGGAATCAAGGCGTAGGAAAACCACATGATAAGACTTGTCTCGATTTCTTCTAGAACCATTGTGAGGGTCTCTGTTTGGCAGGCTCAGTTTGAACTGGAACATTGTTTCCTTCCAGAATGAAGCACTCTTTCCGTATCAGCCATCCTTGCTTCGGAACGCAGAAGTTGGAGCTGAGTCTGAGTCGCTGTAAAGCCTGAATTGTTCTGGAAAGAGGAGCCAGCCCAGACACCTCAGAAGAGGCGGGCTGGGCAGCACCCTCCTTTCTGCCCAAACCCAGATGTTGCATCAGGGGGTGTGGCCTAGGAGAGTTCCAGAGAAAAGATAACTGGGAAGCTTAAGAATCTGCATGGGGGAGATACCTGGATCATAGGCTCTGCTCTGGGGGTCCCTGGTGGTCTCCAGAGGCACCCCTGGCAGTAGCAGGCAACATTATCTGAACTTATCAAATAGCTGTTCTCTTCCAAGTCTCTCTCCTGTGAGTTCATGCAAGCTAGGTACTGATTAGCTGTTTATCTACATCTCTACTTCAAAAAAAGTAGAGAAGTTTAAAAATTTTTTTCTAAATATCTTTTATAGAGTCAGGAGGTGAAGAATATATAGCTTCATATGTGCTTGCAGCTGCAAAAACACCTGGAAGAAGATAGAGAAAACTACCAAGATTGTTTACCTTGGGGCAAAGGGAGTGGTAATTGGGAAGACAGAGGAGAAAAATGGGAACGAGACTCTTTCCACCACCTTTTGTTTGTTTGGGGATTTTAAAAAATTGTTTTTATTGTGGTAAAATACACATAACATAAATTTACCATCTTAACCATTTTTAAGTATACAGTTCAGTGGTATCAAATACATCCAAATTGTTGTACAACCATTACCACCATCGGTCCATGTAACTCTTCATTTTGTAAAACTGAAACTCTATATCCATTAAACAATAACTCCGCCTTCTCCCCTCTCCTGGAAACCACCATTATACTTCTGCCTTTATGATTTTGACTACTCTAAGTACCTCATATAAGTGGAATCATGCAGTACTTGTCTTTCTGTGACTTGCTTATTTTCACTTAGCATAATGTCCTCAAGTTTTGCCCATTTTGTAGTATATGGCAGAATTCCCTTCCTTTTTAAGGCTGAAAAATAGTCCATATACATTTTGCTTATCCATTCATCCATTGATGGACACTTGATTTGCTTCCACGTTTTAGCTATTGTGAATATAATGCTGCACTGAACACAGATGTACTAATATCTCAAGACCCTGCTTTCAATTATTGTGGGTGCTGTTATATTTTTATATTGTTTGATTACTGAACCATGTGAATGTATTATTGAAAACTTTATTTAAATTTTTTAAATTGGAAGGAAAATCTTATGATAGGGTTTGGCCCCTTAAAATGTCAGTTTTTTAAAGACTCTAAACACTCCACATGTGCAAACACCTCAGTGGAAAGAACATGAATTTTAGAGTGCAACACATTGTGGTTCCAGTGTCAGAATTTATTTGCAATATAACCTTGGGAAAGTTACTTATTTATTCATTCAACAGACATTCACTAAGGGCTTTTATTATGTACTAGATCCTGGGAATTCGATAGTTCCTGTCCTCAACCAAAACCTAGTAGAGAAAATGGACATGAGAATAGTCACAAATCAATACTGAAAATGAAGTGACAGAAATATTCACAAGGGAATAAAGGAGCATTAAAGAGAAACACCTAACCCAGCCTGGGGGATCAGAGAAGACTTCTTGGAGGTGACTTTGGGCTGAGTATTAAATGCTGAAAAAAATCAGCCAGCCATAGCATGTTTGGGAAACCACGAGAAGTTTGATGCAACTGGAGAGCAAGGTTGGAGTGGCAAGAAATGGGGCTCGAAGGTAGACAAAAACAGGATTCAAGAGAGAGCTTTGAATGCCTTGTTGAGGAGCTCAGAGTTTATCCTGAGGCAATGAGGGTTAAAAGCTCAAATCTAATCTGTCATTCCCTGTATTTGAGCTTTAAAAAATTTATGACTAGGGTAGAGAAAATCGTGGAAGCGGCCAGAGTGGAGGCAGCTGGGCCAGGAGGGAGGGATGTGGGTCAGCCAGTTGAGAGATGTTGGCTTCCACTAGGTTTTCCCATGTCTGTAGAGAGAAGTGACTAAATTCAAATGATGGAGGTAGAATTGACAGCTCCTAGATGTTGAGTGGATTGGCGGAGGAGGAGGCAAACATGATTTTCACATTCTAGGTTTGAATAACTAGGTGGATGACAGCATCTCAACCTAAATAATGTTAAGGAGGGTGGGATGGGAGCAGGGCAGGCAGGGTTGGGGATGGTACAGAAAAAGGCTGCATGTGTTCAGTTTGATACACTCGACTTTGAGGTGCTCATATGGGCAGGGGCAGTCTCCAATATTCAAATCATCTTTGTCTCAGTTTATGAGTGTCAGGGTATGGCACCACTTCCCCTACATTCAGCATTTCATTGGTAGCTGAGACCAGGAAGTGGGTGAGAACATTCAGGGAGAGTATGTAGATTACAGAGATGTGTGGATACGCTCCAGGAGAAGACCTGCATTTAAAGGACCAGTACAAGCAAAATGACATAGGAAGATATAGGGGCAATAAATAGGTCAGAGAGGTGGTCCTGGAACAAACTATGGTCCTGGAAATGATGAGGGATGGAGTGATCACCAAGGGGGGTGCAGAAGAGAGTCACTGAGTAAATTATCAAAAAATGTCTCCTGGATTTACGTCACCTAGAAGGTCATTTGTAATCTCAGTAAGAGGAGTTTCAGCAGAGAACTTGGATCAGAAGCTAGATAGTTGCAGGCTGAGGATTGGATGGGAAAAGTAGTGCTCTTTTGATGTGAAGGGGAAGAAAGCAACTCTATGAGCGTCATTTTTATAAAACAATGTCTTGCATAATATTTGTGGGAATTAAAGAATGTAGACAAAGCACATTAGCACAGTGCCAGGGACACAGTAGGTCTTCACAAATGCTGTATTAACCATTTGTTATATTAATAATATTAACAATAAATACATTAGGGTTTATTTGCTCTGACTGGCTGGCCCTTTGTGGGCTGCCCATCTTTCACTTTGGCCCCTGGATCAGCAAAAAAAGCTTCCAGTTGGTGCCCCTGGATCAGCAAAAAAAAGCTTCCAGTTCGTGACACCTATTAGAGGGTGGTCATTAAAAGCATGGGCTCTGGAGCCAGACTGTCTGGGTTGGTATTGGTACTCTGCCACTTACTAGCTGCGTTTTTTTCACCAAGTCTTTTAAACAATGTTTTAATGTCCTCCTCTGTAAATTGGAGACAACTGTAATAGTACCTAATTCGTAGGGCTGTTTTGAGGATTATATGACATGGTGCACTTAGAACAGAATCTGGCAAAGTAAATACACAATAAGTATTCGCTGTATATCTTTTAACTACATCAAGGTCAAAGACACTTGCTGCATCCTCTCCTTGATCCCTGCACTCTATACACATTTCCATATATTATACGACAGACTTGCAAGGTATTGATAAAATTTGATTCCCAACTTTTCAGATGAGCACACATCTGAAGTTTATTTACTGTAGATCCCAGAGCCAGTCAGGGATGGAGACAGGAATTCCAACAGAGATCTGCCTAACTCCAAGTTCTTTCCACTCACCTTACTACCTCCCAATTAGTATCAAAGGAGGGCTCACAATGTGTCTGAGGGACGTAAAAGAGTTAGTGATCTAGGAGATCAGCAAAGGCTTTAGAGAACAGACAATCCTCAATATGGAATTCCAAGGATGTACCCGTTTAGATTTGGATAGGAAAGATGTGCTTGCAGTTAAGCATTCCAACTGGGAGAATGGCATGGGAAGGCCCAAGGATGGAAAAGTTGAGGGGAAAACAGACTGAGGATGAAAAGAAAAAGGAAAAGGAAAGTAAACAGAAAATGGGAGAAAGAACAAGACTCATTTAGTTATGCGATGGGGGAGGAAGAAGAGTTGTTCACCAAACCTTGAGGTGTTAAGATAGCTCAACCTGGGCATGGGTCCCTGTCAAGATGCCCCTGCCCAGCACTGCCATGTTGACAAGGCAGTACTGCCTGCCAATCCTTCACAAGCCACTGCAGAAAGTCTCTGACCTGGGCTCAGCACACCTCTAGGGGCACTGAGGGGTAATGCTACCTGCCTGCCACAAGCTTTTGAATGGCAGTTCCTCTCAGGACTGGTCCATGAATCAACAAGGAACTCAGAAGATCCACCTCTGCATGGGCCATGCCACTGGGTGAGAACCTCTGGAGGGCCGTGCCTCACTTGCTAGCTCCTACCCTTGCCTGGATCCCCAACTCTGATCTTGCCTTTCTCTTCTGGCTTTGAGGAACTTCTCTTTCTACACTTTCTCATCAGCTGGTTGTGATATTTTGTCAATGCAACATGCCAAAACCAAACTATCCTCTAACCTGTTGCTGCACTTCTCAGATTAATTTCCACGGCCTTCCAGAGTTGAAGATGATCAGTCGCCTATGCCTGAAGATGAACCGCTGGAAGAACAAAGCTATTTCCTATCATAAACAAGTACAGTCTAGAAATACAAATTTTTTTTCCTATTACACTATTTGAATATTTAATTACAGAAAGAAAAGCAAGGATTTAAAGGTTTTTGTGGAAAAGTAAAGAGTGGGGAAGGAAAAGGAGATTGATGGTCAAGGAAGAGAATCCTAAGCCCTCTGAGCCCCATAGGGCTGGGACTAGAATGAAGCAAGGGAGGCACCAAGGGTGCAAAATTTCAGGCACTCACTCTTAGGGTTGTGCAAATGCAGGGTAGGTCCTGGTGCCCTGGCACAGACCACATGGTCAGTTAATTGCAATAACCCTTCCTTGCTCTACTTAACACAAAATAGTTCTCTTCCCTTTACCAAGATTCCTAAATATCTGTCCTGTGTTTTAGCACATCTGACATTTAATTGTAACCCACCGTCTAAATTATTACTATTATTTTTCTGGAAGTAACACAGTGTATTTAAACAGTGGAATTCTCCTTGTCATAGATTTTTCTAACTCCCGCTTCCACTGAGTCTGCTCCAGATGTAACTTTCACACACTTTCAAGCTCTGGTTTTCAGGGTTCTTACAGCCCTTTTTCAACCTCCTCTGAATATTATTTTCTTCTTCAATTTCCTGCCTCGTTTATTGTCTGGCACCAGTGCAGAACATCAGGAATTTAACCTCCCTTAACCTCAATTCTTTCCTTAGGGGGTGATGAATTAAAACCCTTAAGTCTGTCAAACTGCCCTCCTTCCTGTAGTTATAACTGATTCTTTTCTATGTGACATTTCCCAACAACTCCTCTTAAGACGTAGAATCAGGCCTTATTCAGAATAGTCCTTTGTACTTAAAAGTTCCGTGTTTAAATAAAACAAATACCATTTTATTCAATTCTAAAATTTGAAAACCGAAAACAATGCTCTGTAATAGCGAAGATCTTAATAATTTTCAAATGATTTTGATTGCTGTATTTTCAGCCATTCACTGGTTTAATCCTAGTCATCAGTGATTCTATTAAGTGAAGCACACAATATGCTCAAAGTCTGTTTTATGAGGCCTCCAACCATCCTATATAAATTAACACCCCACTCTCACTCTCCGACCTCCTCATCTTGCTCTGTGTTTTCTTCATAGCACTTCTCCATTAGGCATTACATCACTAGAAATGAAAGTTTTAGGACAGCTTTTGGACAAATTTGTCCATTTTCTTCACTATCATTTTTGCTAGGTTAGAACAGTCTGGCACCTACGCAATCAAACATTTGACATGAGGTGGTTGGATGGTTGGTTGAAGGATAAGTATCTCCAAAAGCAAAACAAAGACACAAAACCATACACATAGATATAACCGTTCAAAAAGTATTTTTCTCATCTTGACGCCAAGTGATTAGCATATGCGCTGATGAAATCAGTACTTGTTTTCTTCTACAACATCCCCCTTATCTATAGTCTAGAAACCATATCAAAACAACTAAATGTTTGGCATTACTTGTTCCAAGAAAAGACATGCTTATTCAGGGATCACTAATTTCTTCTACAAATGCTCAAAAAAAAACAAATTTAATAACCATTCCGGTATTTAACCTAAAACAGACAACACTTTAGTCTCATTCTGGACTCCACCTGTCTCCATAATTTCCTGAAAGCTATCTCCAAATGTTCTACATAGTTTCTGAGCCTAGAGATTTAAAGCAACTAAATACCTTAACTACCTTAGATGTCTATTCTTAATTGTCTATTTATGCTTGTCTTCCTGTTCGAGAGTCATTATCATTCCACGAGGTACAAGAAAACATGGAGAGGAAATTGAGTACTCTTTGTCTTCTTTGTAGTTATAACTACAAATAAAATTTGCAACATTATTTCAAAATACTGAGACCAGCTTTCCCTGGAGCTTTAAAAACAGCTTAAAAAAGTAATCTGAGTGGAAACATTTAGAAAATCAGCCAGTCCAATCGGTAAATTAAAAGTTTGTGTGAATCCTTTGTAGGCATCAGGCCAATTCTGAAGTATTTGAGATAATGAAAGTGCTCCAGCCAACAAACATACCCTCAAAAAGACACTGTGGTTTAAAACATTTACCTTCGTGAACACCGCCAATAATAACAAAAACTCCTCCTCCTGCTCTTCAAAACCTCACCAAGCCCAGTTTATGTTCTACTCATTAAACAAACAAGTCTCAGCAAACTGTATACTTTCAAATCACAAGAACCCCTCATTAGTAAACAAGAAAAATATATTCTTTGGTCATTTGGTTTTAGGTCAACAGCAAAAAACTAGGGTGTGGAGTATGCACAGCATGCTGGTCTGTAAGAGTTTAGAAGATGACAGAGTTGAGTCATATAAACTTGCTAAACCAATAGAACCAGTTTATCAGAAGAGAGGAGCTTCCTACCTTGCCTTGCAATAGAATAAAATACAGGTTTTCCCCAGAAGCAGTAATATGGCATTTTCAAAAAGTTCACTGGATGCTGTTCAAAACATAAAATGAGGATGTCATCTATCCTGTATCAAATGTACTTTAAGTTAGAAGCAACCTCAGTTGTGAAGCCATTCGAAAACAGTTAAAGGATGTATATAAATACAGGATTACAAAGGATTTCCTTTTCTTCTAGCAAAATATTAAAGTGGAAAAGTTAAAAGCATGCTGAAATGCTACATTCCTAATTTATTGATTTGGACATTGCACCTGAAGCATTTCTGCAAAATGGTAAGTTTCCAGATAACTCCAAGTTACAGGAAAAACAGGGAGTAACAGTAACTGCATTTGGAGACTTGAACTAAGGGGGAATAAAGGCTGGGAAAGAGCCTTTTTTACACTTTTAATTTTGTTTTTAACCATATGCATTGGTAAAAATAAGGGAAGCATCCATACCATCTGATGCCTTCTGGGAATTCAAATTTAGTATTATCAGCTTCTCATTTTTCAGGGGAAAACAGAACTCTGGATTTTATGTGAAATCCCCCAATTTTAAAATGTTAACAATTACTTTTTTAAGCATTGTGGGTTGAACTGTATTGGTTGTATCCTGAACAGGGCACCTTGCAAGATGGGAGAAGGGTAGTGGTGGTGAGTTTTGGACTCCTCAACAGCAAAAAAAGTGGCCAGGCTTGCCCAGAGAAGAGGTGCCTTTTCCTAATTCTCACAAGGTACCTACACAGACAGTAGTGGCCCTGCTTCTCGCAATCTCTGGATTAGATGATAGAATTAAAGCATTAACGCTGGAGATAACTTATGTGCCACTGATCTATCCACATATCTATGAGGATAACATCATTCTAACAATCCAAGTTGCTCATCTGCTAGGCTTTTTATCTTCCAGCAATGGCAGTTGATTGCACTTAGGCCTTCTGATTTTAAGTGATATGTCTGTGACACACCATCTTTAATAGTGCCAGGTGCCTGTGTTACTGTGTACAAAGACGTGTAATATATGTTTGTGAATATGTATTCAGCTGAACTTAAGGACTTATGACCAAATAACAGATACAGCAGCAATAGCTTTTTGTTACTGAGTTTATATAAAGTTCTGAAAAACCTTCTTCCAAGATTTTGGAGAAGTTATTTGTAGAAGTGGGTTGGGCAGGGTTATGTGTGTTATGAATATTTAAATTGATAGCTAAGCATCTCCTCACAGGTGGAAGAAAACTACTGTAATACTGCTCTTCCCAGGACTTTCCTCCTTGTCTAAAAACAAGCACAGAGAAGCCAATGTGTCACAATATAGAGTGTATCAGGCTGGGAATAAGGAAACCTGGTTTCTAATACAAGTCCTGCTACTAGCTAGTTATGTAGATGTTTTCTAAGATGGTTCTAGTTCTTAAGAAAATTAATTCATGCTTTTAAAAAACAGTCATTGATGTAAAGATTGGTTTTAAGACTTTTTAAAAATTGATAAAATGTTGAAGTAGAAAATTAAGTAGTTCCCAGTGAGGTTTCATCACATAATAGGAGGAGCACACAATAGCTATCATTGGCACACATGGACTATCTAGGAATTCCCTAGTTATTATAAATCTAATTATGGCACAGAAATATGCATTCTGCTTCCAGTGCTACTCCATTCCTAGCTACTTTCTCAAAATCCTTAACATCAGCTCTGCAGGGTTTGCTATAAATAGCTCATGTCTGTGATACAAAGTAGTAATTGAGTTGCTCCTCTCCTTTTTTTTTAAACAAATATCCATTTTTTAAATAAGGAAGACTGGGGGGTGGGGACCACAAAGAGTGTGGAAAATAAAAAGAAAGCATCATCAAATGTTTGTTTAAAATTAAAAAGATGTTTGCTACCTAGTCATTTTACAACTACTATAAAACTATTTTCCTCAATTTATATTCAAGTGATTTTACAGCAAAAAAGGTAAGAATACATGACTTTTGTTTCCATTAAACTTGCCTACTAATAATCATCTTAATAAACAAAGGGGGCTGAGGAAGATAATGAAATATGAACTAAAAGGCTTTAAAAGCAGATGCAATGAAGATAGAAAATTGTACAATGTCTATATTTGTTAACTCCTATTGCTTAGTGGGAGAAGTCAGGGCTGCCACCCAGTGGCAATGTAAGTCTTTAAATGATTTGAAGATTTAGAGAATTAAAAAAACATTTAAAATAAAATTTAAAAAAACCGAAATCAAAAACCTCATGAATTAGACAACTTCAATTTTAGAATCAGTAATTCTGGTGTCTTAAATGTCTGTTCATAACATATTAAAGAATGGAAACATTCATTTGCGTAGGCAGCATTGGGGAAATTTTTTAAAATCTCATGACTTTCTACTATTTACTAAGTTATGTGGTTTTAGTAAGTATTTTCTATTAAAATATTGAAAGTACTTTGCTTAAATTAAATCTCCAGAATTTACAGTGGGGGGAAAAGCTGTGACCATAAAGTATAACTGGTTTTCTTCTGTGATGTATAGAAATAGATTAAATACGCTACAGTAGCCTCTCATCCATACACCCAAACTTCTGCTTGATAAACAAAAACTTAATAGAAGCATCTGCAAATATAAGATTCTAAAAATAATTTTCCCTTACCATTAGCACATCACATCTTTTCCTCAGGTATACATCAATTTTAGTGTCCCAGTCAATAAAATTCAAAGCTGAAAGAAGAAAATGAGAATAGAAATACTATGCCTGATAATTACTGATTTTTTTTTGGTGGGGTTGGGGAGAACCAAGTATCTCGTTGACTCTTACTTCTTCAAACTTTGGCCATAGCTTTTTTCACATTGACACAGATATAACATATTCAAAAACAAGATGCTTTGGTAAAATAACACTAGGGGAAAAAAATAACACTAGAGCATCCATTTACAGTTTGAAAAGCTAAATATCTCAGAGACTGTTTTGTTCTCTTGAATAACCAGATGAGAGAGAAGCACCAAAAAAAAAGAAAAAAAAACTTAGGAATTTACAGATTTTTGTTTCCAACAGTTGTAAATTTAAATTGTACAAGATATGTTTTCTAACCTATGTCCCGTATGTTTTGCTTTACACTAAAAACAAACGAATTTTGAAAAATAATGACAGACACAACATACTTGATATTTACAATGGCTTGTGACAAATATAATACCTGAAAATAATTTCTAATTTTCCATTTATTATTGCTATTTAGTCACAGAAAAGATTAACAACTCTCCAAGAAATTTATTTTAGCATATGCCATATATTGATATAATTGATATAATAATTTTATATGAAGAGAACCATTGCAGAAGTAACTAAGGTGGTGCCCTTACAAGGAAATAAAGGAAAGGCAGTAAAGAAATTCTTCCATATAAAGACTTTCGATTTGCATCATTTTTTCAAAATATAAAACCTTAATATTAGAAGCGAAGAGAAAAAGAGCAAAAAAACCAATGAAACAGAAGACCAAGGATAAGGAATTGCTCTATGCAGATGTCTGGCATATGTAGTATATATGTATGAACTGAGTTATAATAAAAATACTTATGTATTATAGTCAATTTTCATATAGAGTTAGAAACAGCAATTTCCAATCAAGCATGACTGGAATGATATTTTCTCAGTCTTCACATGACGAATTACAACTGTATAGCAGTCACTTCTGGTCAGCAGTATCATGATAAATGCTTGATAAGATACAATTTTTCTCCTTGTTCACTTGTAAAAATTGGTGCCTTTTTGTAATGTTCTACAAGTTCTTCCATGGTGCTGAATTTACGCTGCCCAATGCAGTAGACAGTCTCTTTTAGTTGGACTTTAAAATGCTTGTTTTTCCCTTGTGCTTTTAGTGATACTGAAAAATCATTTGGCTAAAAGAGAAAAAAATTTTGAAAGACATCTATTAGCATTTTTATATTAAACTAATAACAGCTAAAATGTGAGCACTTTAAGTACTAGGCACAATACTAAATTATTTATATGAATTATCTCCTTTACGCCTCAAAACAAACCCATTTTACAGATGAAAAAAAAATCAAGGCTGAAGAGAAGCTAAGTTGCCTAAGATCATCCACCTAGTTAACAAAAGAGCCAGGATTCAAATAGAAGCAGCCAGACTCTTAAGTCTCTTAACTATTATGCTCTACCTAACACCAGGGCAAATCCTTTAGTTTAACATCTGAAGCATAAAAACTATCTTCTCTCCATTCAAACTACTGGAGAAACATGAGAGAAAATCCAAGACATCCACCCCTTTTCAATTAGTAGCTAACAGTAGCTGTCTGTATACAGAGTAAATACTCTGAAATCTCAAAGATGAAGGACACAAAAATGAGAACTAATTTAAACTCTAATAAGAGATCATAAACTCAAATGCCTATAAGGGGCAAAAAAGAAATGTAAACAATGGCCAGGGTGGCTATATAGGGGGAAACAACAGTACATGGCCAATCTAAAGGAGGTGGCCACTTAACTGCAATTGTTGCCTTGTAGGAATACGGCTCAACATTGACAGGCCTTCCAATTTTAAAAGGGAAATCTGATGTCCAAATTCTTATACTAAATCTCCCAATATTTAAAAACTGACAATGAATTCAAATGTTTAAAAACACTGTGCAGGTCAAATGAAATATGCCTATTTGAGACCTCTACTTCAAAAATTCTACTACTAAAAGTAATGGTATATTTTGGATAATATCTATGCTTAATTACCCACAAGAAAATACACAGTATTTTGCAATCAAGTTTTAGGTTTTTTTTTTTTTAACCTTACACTCTTCTGAATAGTCTATATCAACCTCTTATACAGTTACTGCCAAAGTTTCAAACAGTGGGTTTCTTGGAGACATCTTATGGTTATTTACCACCCACTCCAGGGTCACTCCCTTCTAATCCTTCTGCCCACTGCTTGTCCTAGAAAGTAGGGCCAGGTCAGGCAACTAACAGAAAACAAATCCCACCACTCTTCCCTATCATCAATCACCTTCTCTTTCTGAGGGGTTATGTACAGGCCCCCATTTCCTGAACTTCACATCAGGCAGTTCAATTAATTTCAATCTCGCCCTCTCATCTTTCCCACCCCTCACCCCTTAAACACACACACACACCACTCAAACAGATAGGTTTTCTTTCTTTCTTTCAACCTTCTGTACAATCATACATTAACTTTTGTACAAATACATATACACAAAAAAAGCCAATACTACTCATGGAAAAGTAGTGATATCCTTTATCAAGGAAAAATAAAGGCCATTTTTAAGGGAAATGAGTATTGTCAAATTCTAAAATCCTAGATAGTACCCAAAAGAGCCCACAAAACTATTTTCTTATTCAATTTTTATGGTTTTACAGTTTTATTGTTTTACTAGTATTGGAACAGAATTTATCTTTTATTGCAAATGCACTTCAAATACAGAGTGCATGTTCAAATGGGTTTCTGAGGTATGTAATAGTGTATTCCAACTTCCAAACAAGCAATTTATAAAAAAAGCAAATATCAATTTTTTAAATTCAGGGATTTCCTTTATTGTAAGGATGACAGTGTATCCATTATGCAATTTAAGAAATGTTTTTCCCAGTTTAGTCTACTGCATTGTTCTACTCTCAGTGAAGAAACCAATGTTCAATTTTCTCCATTTTTCAGTTTAATGCAAAAGAAAATATTTCAGGAAGGCAAAACCAACAGAACTAGGACAAGGCTTTTAAATAATCCAGGGTAGGGCTATATATTACTAAAAATAAATACACTTGGAAAGAACACTGACTTTCACTAAGAAACTTTACATATTTTAACAAATATACTACCTGGTTAATTTTAGGGAAGCCACTTAACTTCTCTAATCTTCTATTTATTTTTTTAATACTCAGAGTTCTATTTCCATTTACCTTTGAAAACCAACTTACCGAAGATTCACTATCACGAATGAGGAAATCACCTTCATGCCCTCTTTCATTTAATGCCATTTCTGCTTGGTGCCTGGTGACTTTCCCATAATACCATGGATTGCCAGCAAACTTTCCAGTGAGTGAAGGCCTAATGTAATCACACTGTGGAGGCGATGGTTCCAAACCTGAGGTTAATGGATTATTCTGCATAATGGTAACATAGTTTTTTGGCACCAGACCAACCATTCCATTGATCTTCCTGCATTTCCACCACTCAGGGTCATTTTCAGGTTTTTCAATAACATCCATTACATCGCCTTTCTCAAAATTAAGTTCTTCATCATTGGACGAGCTGAATGGGTAAAGAGCCTGTACCACATGTAACACTTGCCCAGTATTTAGGTTACTGACGACTGCTGCTAATTTCTCTGACAAAGAACCCACATGGTCACCCAAAGGACTGTCGCCTTCCTCAGTCACATAGTTTGAAGGGAACCATCCAACATGTCCATTGTAGCTACCCCGCCACCACCCATCACTGCATTTCTCCATGACGATCACCTTTGTCCCTTTTATCAATGACAATTCATCCTCTCTCTCTGCCATGTAGTTAAATTTTACATAAGCAGGCATGTTGAGGTCATACAGACGTTCCCCTGGGTCAACAAAGCTATCATCAGCAGGAGATGCAGAATCTGGCACACTAGGTTTTCTTTTCACTTTTCCAATGCCTGTTTAAATAAAAAAGGGTAATGAGAATATAAAATAATGATAATCAAAAACACCAACTGATTCATTATTAAGAAAGTATCTTCAATTCTGTAATTCTTTCAAGCCTTTTAACTAAGATAACAAATTCCGTCCTTCCTTTTTCCCTCCCTCTCACTTTCTCTTTCTTTCTTTACATCCTCACGACTTATAAAGCCTCCAGCAAACCCGTATTCTTCTTGTCTTACTTTATTAACTGAGATTCTATTAACTTGCTGTATAGAAATAAAATAGTAACTTAAATCACAATTTTATATGCAATATAAAATTGTAGTTAAGTCTAGGTAATCCTCCCATTTGCTTTCTTAGTTCCCAAGACCCAGGTTGCTCTATTTATTTTACCTCATGTTTATTTTAAAATAATATATCCACAACAGCAGAGACTTTTGCTGACTTTGTTCATGGATATAATCCCAAGGATCTCATACAGTGCTTAGTACACAGGAGATGCTTAATATATATTTGTTAAAAGAATGAAAAAAATAACCAAATGGTACTATCATCACAAATGTATGCTACAGCAACTTTAGTCAGGCATTTTCACCGCTGCTCACTTGAAAACTAAGGCATTCCTAGGTAAAATTTCTCAAATACTTTCTCACTATCTCAAAATTCTTTCTCATTACCCTTACTCTTTTTCTTCTCCCAAGTTCCCAACCTCTGATCCTTCTGGGTTCTTAATACCTACCATCTTTCCTGCCTCTTTTTGGGACTCTTGGCCATCCTTGTTCCCCTCCCACTCACTCCCTTCTATTGTCTAAAAACACATTTAGATCGCTTTTATTCCAAAATAAAGTTACTTCAACTCTGCTATTGTTCTTTAACTACATCATTCTTTATAAAACTGTCTTCCCTTTTTCCTTCAACTTTTTCACCACTCACTCACTCCTAACGCCTTATAATCTGGTTCTCTATCTCCACCAAAACTACTCAATTAAAACTGTCATCTCTTCACTGCCAAATTAGTCCCTTTTAGAGCCCTCGATCTTTTCAAACTCTCTATACAGCAACCAAGATCACAGATAACTTTGTACAACATTTTCTCCTTCTTTAATTTCCCCGAGAGTCTCCTGTTTTCCCTACTGACCTGTTTAAATATTCTTGTGTTCCTCTGTCTGGGCTCCTCTAAACCTTGTTATAAAATTGCATTGTACTTGCTTACTTGTCCATCTAATAAGAGTGAGTTTCCTGGGGGCAGTAAGCTGGATCTTATTACCTTGTATCTCCAGCACTTAGCAGTAACTATAGTAGTAGCAGGAACAAAGTGAATGTTTGCTGAAAGAAAAAGTGAATGATTCCTTTGTTTAAAGTGTTTCCCAAGATGCCATGCTTGGACTTAGCCTCTGCTTCAAGGAAATCATACACTTTCACTTTCTATAACTTCTCTATAGAAGGTTCCAAAGTCTCTTTGTAGCTCTAAGCTGGAATTCAAGCATTACAATTCCAAATGTCACTAGACATCTACAGAATGAATGTACCATCAGCACCTCAAATACAACTTCCATGTCCAAATAAAAATAACCTCTCCAAGATCCATAAATCAACTAACTCCCTCCCTCCCAATTTCCTTCCTTCTGGTTAATGATGTATCATCATCATGAAAAATTCATACATCAGGGATTTCTGGCACAGCAGGGAACTCTAGGGTTCCATCCCTCCAAGAGAGTAATTAATGAGCTGGCGAATACTGTCAAAATCAACTTTTGCGGAACTCCAGAATCTAGTAAAAAACTTATAAAAACTAGCTAAGCTTAGGGAATAAAGAAGCTGCTGCTTTGTAATAAGAGAGCACTGTAGCATTTTAAGCTGCCTGCCTAATATCTCTTAAATCCCAAATCAGTGGTGGCTGTGAGGATAGCAAACTGAACTCCTAATGCCAGACAGAACAATACAGACCTTATTCACAAAGAATTGTAATTGTGCGTTTCAACCTATCTGGAAGCTACCTGAAGGACCGGCACAATGACTTGCCGTGGTTTCACCTGACTTGGAGCATTCCCAGGGCTAGGATGTTTTCTGCTGAAATCATTTAATTGATGCAGCAGACTGGTAGAAGAAACAACAACTAGGATAAGAAACAGATAAAAAATCCTAGGAAGGAAAAGTTTGAGTAAGGACACAAATGGGGTAATAAGGGCTTTGAAAAGCCCCTGTGTATACCAGAAAATCAAGAAAGCCACATACATAGCCAGAACCGGCACTTGTTCAGCAAAGGCCTGAGTAGACCCTGAGCTTTCACCTATTGCTGACCTTCAAGCTCTGAAGAAGCAGTAAGTAAAGGCTAAGGAAGAGTTGCAAATGGCCTGGCTAAGTGTTGAAAGAGGTTTTTTTTCTTTTTCTTTTGGTTTCACGTGTTTAAGAAAACTCTTTCAAAACACTGGCTAACAACTAAGCAAAAGAACACAGATGTATGTGGTCGCACATTGTGTGGTCACACAATGACACAGACTTTATAAAAATAGTTTAGAAAAGTCACTAAACAAGCAAACAAAACCACCACAATAAGGAGCAACAACAAACCCTAAGGACAAGGTAGAATCTGATGCTGAAAGAAAAAAGTATCAATCAAGAATTCCATGTCCATATATACACTATCAAACGTAAAATAGACAGCTAGTGGGAAGCAGCCACATAGCAGAGGGAGATCAGTTCGGTGCTTTGTGACCACCTAGAGGGGTGGGATAGGGAGGGTGGGAGGGATGGAGACGCAAGAGGGACGAGATATGGGGACATATGTATATGTATAACTGATTCACTTTGTTATAAAGCAGAAACCAACACACCACTATAAAGCAATTATACTCTAATAAAGTTAAAAAAAAAAAAGAATTCCATGTAGAGCAAAAGTGTCCTTTAAAACTGAAGAAGTTAAGATACTCCCAAGGTAAACAAAAACTGAAGGAGTTTGTCACACTACACCTGTGCTACAAAAAACGCTAAAGAGTCCTCCAGGCTGAGATGAAAGGTCACTAAAGTCATATGAAGAACAGTGGTAAAGGTAGCTACACTGTAAATATAAAAACCAGTTACATTTTTAGCTTGTAAGTCCTCTTTTATTCTTATATGATTTAAGATGCAAATATATAAAACGGTAATTTCAAATCTAGGTTAATAGGCACACAATGTATAAAGACAAAACTATAAAAGAGCAGACTTTTGTATACTACTGAAGCTAAATTTGCATTACTTCAAACTTGATTGTTAAAAAGTTAAGACGCTAATTGTAATCCACAGGGTAATCACTAAGAAAAAAACTAAACACACTGAAAAAGAAATGAGAACAAAACAAAATGTGCATCATAAAAAAATCAATTATATGCAAACGAAGCAACTGAGAAAGGATTAATCTCCAAAATATACAAGCAGCTCATGCAGCTCAATATCAAAAAAACAACCCAATCCAAAAATGGGCAGAAGACCTAAATGGACATTTCTCCAAAGACGACACACAGATGGCCAACAAACACACAAAAAGATGCTCAACATCACTAATCACTAGAGAAATGCAAATCAAAACCACAATGAGGTATCACCTCACACCGGTCAGAACGGCCATCATCAAAAAAATCTGCAAACAATAAATGCTGAAGAGGGTGTGGAGAAAATCCTCCTGCACTGTTGGTAGGAGTGTAAATTGATACAGCCACTATGGAAAACAGTATGGAGGTTCCTTAAAAAACTAAAAATAGAACTAACATATGACCCAGCCAGACCACTACTGGGCATATACCCTGAGAAAACCATAACTCAAAAAGATACATGCACCACAATGTTCACTGCAGCACTATTTACCATAGCTAGGACATGGAAGCAACCTAAATGTCCATCAGCAGATGAATGGATAAAGATGATATCACTCATATATAAAATGGAATATTACTCAGCCATAAAAAGTAACGAAATTGAGTTATTTGTAATGAGGTGGATGGACTCTGTCATACAGAGTGAAGTCAGTCAGAAAGAGAAAAACAAATACCGTATGCTAACGCACTTACATGGAATCTAAAAAAAGTAGTACTGATGAACCTAGTGGCAGGCAGGGCAGGAATAAAGACGCAGATGTACAGAATGGACTTGAGGACACAGCAGGGGAAGTGGAAGCTGGGATAAAGTGAGAAAGTAGCACTGACATATATACATGACCAAATGTAAAATGGATGGCTAGTGGGAAGCTGCTGCGTAGCAGAGGGAGATCAGCTTGATGCTTTGTGATGACCTAAGGGGTGGGATAGGGAGGGTGGGAGGGAGGCTCAAGACAGAGGGGATATGAGGATATATGTATATATACAGCTGATTCACTTTGTTGTACAGCAGAAATTAACACAACATTGTAAAGCAGTTATACTTCAATTATATGAAAAAAATCAATTATAAAAGGTAGTAATAAAAGAATTGAGGGGAAAAAAGGTATAAGACATATAGAAAAAACAAACAGCAAAGTATCAGAGGGCCTTTCCTACCAGTAATTTCTTGAAATGTTGGACTAAAAGGTAAAGATTGGCAGAATGGATTAAAAAAATATGATCCAACACTATGCTATCTATAAGACACTAACTTCAGATTCAAAGATGCAAACAGGTTTGAAAGTGAAAGGATGCAAAAAGACATTCCATGAAAATGGTAACAAAAGACTTTAAGGCAAAAATTGTTACAGGAGACAAAGGACATTATATGTTGATAACAAGTCAATCCATGAAGAAGATTTACCAATTATAGATATATACATACCTAACAACAGAGCGGCAAGACATATAATAAAGCAAAAACTAACAGAATTAAAGGGATAAATTGACAGTTCTACGATATAGTTGGAGATTTCAATACCTCACTTTCAATAATGGATAGAACAAAAGACCACGAAACTGAAATCATATAAAATATCTTCTCTGACCACAGTGGAATGAAATTCAGAATCAATAACAGAAAGGAAAACGGGAAAATTTACAAATATGTGGAAATTAAT